CCCAGAGCTGGGGGAGCTGGGCGAGGCTGCTGGCCTGGCCCCCCACAGCCCCCCACGGTCATCAGCCAGTTTCCTCTGCAGCCACAAACGTGCGGGCCTCCCCAGAGCCCCCCGGAAGCGCCCCTTTCCTTGAGCCCTAGTCCCCGTGTAGGTGAAGGGTAGCCACCTGCCCACATCAGGGTTGGAGGGCACCTCTGGGCAGAGGCCCCCACTGTCCCCAACTTTGTCCAGTCCAGCCCCAGGCGCCTCAGTTCTGGGCAGGGCTCTGGGCAACACGTCAGATTGGGAGGCGGGAGGGGGGCGGCCAACCTGGCCTGTGACCACACGGCCCCTGGGCCTCGGGCCTGGGCGCTGAGTCAGTTTCCTTCTACTCCACTCACCGGGCACCTCCTGCTCCATGTCCTTGGAAGTGTGCCCCCTGACCCTCCAGCGAGGCTGGATGCTGCCCCCACCAGGACGCAAAGGTGCTGGGAGGAGAGGGGAGACATACCAAGTGCTGAGTCCTGGGCCTGAGCCGGCAGCCCAGCACCCAGGGCCGCCACCGTGAAGGGGAGGGGGAGGGTGCACACCGTCAGCGTGCCGCCGCAGCCTGGTCTCTGCACCCCAGAAAGAAGGAAGCTGAGCAGTTCTTGGTGTTTTTCTTTCTACATTTTATTATTTCAAACCAGGTGAACAATTCCATAAAACGTGAAAAAAGCAAGGAAGTGTTCAACGCTGAAGGACCCGACCTGGGGGAGGGCACGAGGGGCGTGACCCCTCGGCAGGCAGCGGCGGTTCCTAGGTTAGCGCTAAGGGCTACATGGAGGTTAATGGAGCCGGTGGCCCTGGGACAGGCCTCTGTGAAGCTGGCAGCCCTTGGGCCCGACGGTGTGGGGGCAGGGGGGCCGCACAGGGGCAGCCAGCAGGGCGGGTGTAAACACACAGACACACTCAAGGCACGGCGTCGCTCGAATGGGGCTGGGGGAGCTGGTCAGGATCGGACAGTTTTAAATAGTTTTTCCTCTAAAAAGTTTCTAAGTTTGCGTTTTTTTTTTCCTTTCGTTTTTTTAAAAAGCTACGAGAACGAGCAGTGGACTGTGGTCTCCAGGAATGGTGGCGTCTCACGCGTCTTGTGCTTTTCCTTGGGGCCTCCGAGCGGCTGGGGGTGTGTGTGGGGGGGGCAGGAGGCTCCCTGTAAACATCTGGCCTTGGGCTGGGCCAGGGTCTGGGGCTGGGGCTGGGTGAAGCCGGGGTCCCAGGCTGGAGAAGTGAGTGCCCCTCCAGACACTGGTCTGGATGTGCTCCCCTCCCCCATCACAGAACAAGACAAGGGCCAAATCCAGAACAGACAGATGCCCAGGAAGGGGGTACCCCAGCTGTGCCCAGCACCTGGGACAAGGGCAGGCTTCAGACAGGGAAGCCTGTGGCACCCCCTTCCCCAAGTCTCGGGAGCTGAGGGAGGCAACAGGGGGAGCCAAGAACAGAGAGAGGGGGGAAGCGGTGGGGAGGGCAGGTGGGGGGCGTGGTCCTCTTGCCCCCATCTTCCTCAGGAACTGGGGGAGCAGATTCGGCGGCGGCCCTGAGGTGGGGGCAGGCAGGGCATGGGTCAGGAGGTAGACACTGTGTGACTCCCCCCCCCCACAATGACCTGCTCCTTTCCCACCCACTTGTTACCAGGGACACAGTGGCCACCCAGAAGCCAGTGCCCGTTGCTGGGCTCCTTGGGGGAGGGGGTCTGAGGCTGGCAGAGTCTTCCCGCCTCCCCAGGCCCAGGGGAGCCAGCCCCGCTCAGAACCCTCAAGGTCCCTCAAGGTCGGAGGCAAAGAGGGAGGAGCACAGAGCCGGTCACACTGAGCGGCAGGTGGGGGCCCCAGCGTCCTCCAGGCTGGGCCCAGGGCCTGGTGGTGAGGAAGTGAGTTTTCTCCAAGGAAGGCCGAACAGCCCTTGAGTTCTGTGCCAGCGCACAGCCAGGCACTGCGGCTGTGTGGGCCACCGGGCAGCACAGAGCCCAGCCCGGCCTGTGCCCAGGCTCTGGGTGACCCTCCTGACTCACCAGCCTGCGTGCCCCTTGTCCTCTGCTCTCCTACTGGGCACTCAGCTGGACTCCTGCGTCCCTGCTCTGGGTCAGTGGCCCTGCTCTGTCCCTCCCCAGCTCCCTGCCTGGCCCTGCTCTGTCCCTCCCCAGCTCCCTGCCTGGTCCCGCCCCGGCCCCCCAGCTCCCTGCCTGGTCCCGCCCCGGCCCCCCAGCTCCCTGCCTGGCCCCCGGGCTCACCGTCCTGCCAGGTCGGCTGCCCCTCAGAAGAGGCCGCAGTCCTTCAGGTTGTTCTTGATGATGACGTCAGTGACGGCGTCGAACACGAACTGCACGTTCTTGGTGTCGGTGGCGCAGGTGAAGTGGGTGTAGATCTCCTTGGTGTCCTTGCGCTTGTTCAGGTCCTCGAACTTGCTCTGGATGTAGCCGGCTGCCTCCTCGTACTTGTTGGCCCCTGTGGAGGCAGCACGGTGAGACCGGCCCGTCCCACGTGTCCCCACACGCACACAGGGTGCTCACGTGCACAGGATGAGGGTGTGAGCGCAGACACATCTGTGTGGGAGGAGGATGCCCACGTGCACACGGAAGGGCCCACCCCCAGGGTGGGAAGAAGGGCCCCCACCTGCGGCACAAGTACTTAAGTCCCAAAAGCACCAGCCGGACCAAGGGCCCCACAGTTACCCTTCTGTCCAGCAGGGGGCGCTGCGAGCCAGCGAGTCCCCCCAGTGCTCCGAGGCC